CACTCAGTCTGTCCCTCCTCAGAGACGGGCAGACTGAGCGGGTCAGACTGGACACAGCTGGCCGGGGTCGGGCTGCCTGCTAAGGGTTCAGCGAGAGGAGCAGACCGCTGAAGCCACGGAGCTCGAATGTCCAATGTCCAACGTAAAACTAACTTTACCGCAGTTTAATGTGGTGCTGTGGCTCTGCAGACATTGCACGTTGCTGTCTTGTTTTGTGGTGTTTCTAGTGTAAAATACTTCCACACAGCGGACATGTTACGATGAAAAGTTGGTTAGCCGTTAGCCACAGTGCTGCTAACTCAATCCTCGCGTTGTAGCTGGCTTCAAACTATGAAATGGATTTCCTGAATGTGAGACGGGTCTTATTACTCTGGGCTCATGAGACATGCCTCCGTTCTGGAAATCCATTCCATAGTTTGAAGCCAACGTGCAGAGCAGCTGGCAGGGAATCGCATGAGAAGTTTCAACAGACACAGACCTGCATCATGGATCGGAAATCTCTGCAGGTTGGATCAGAAAAGTCCGATACATAAATTTATGCTGGTATCGGAGACCAATACTGGCTCGTATCGGCCCCATCCCCAGTCATAAGCTGAAAATTTTGGAACCACTGAACTTTATGCCTTTAAAGTGACAATTCAGATCCTTTGAAATGGTGTTTCTTTTGAAAGATTACTAAAGATTGATTAACTGTTTGAGATGGTTCTTGATTTGGACAGAGTTTAAATTCTGATCATATTAATAATTCTGCTCATCCAAGCAGTGCCAAGACCAAAGTGGGTTGCTAATGTCTTAAAGCTAATCCAAAATCTAAAGTTTTATAGAAATTCATACAAACTCAAATTTCAGAAACGTTTGCATTGCTGTCAGATTTACATTACGCTGTTTTTCTACTTTTTAAAAAAAAATTAAAGCACCTCAAATGCAGCTCAAAACTAGCTGAAAGATTTAATCGTATTTGTGCAACAATAGCTGTAATCTTGAGACTGGACAGTGTAAACATTTATAAAAAAAAAACAAGTTTACATTATAGTTTTTAGATTTGAGTTGTTTTTAAGAAAACTCCCTCAGACTAGCCATGAGCTCATCAATTCCCTCAGAAATAATCTCCGTTTTCAGACTCAATGAGCTATCTAAAACAGGTAAGATATTAACTGTTCTTTCAACAAAAAAAACACTTCCTTCACTGAACTCTTCCTTTGAAGAGCTGTTTACTTCAATTACAGCAACACAATTTAGGTTGTACTGTACTGGAATTTAAATAGTGCTTTACAAATATCATCATACCCATCTTGTCTTTTTTTTTTATATTAGCCTTCCAGTTTGCTCTCAGATCAAGCTCTTCCAGACTCGCCCCCTCCCAGTCCTCTCTGCCAGTCTGCACCCTTACTGCAGCGCCAAGACTCTGGGCCTCAAGGCATCAAGGGAATCCTGAAGAAAAGCCGCTCCACCAGTGTGGAGTCGGACCACAGCGACGGCTCTATGCCTGTGCGCTTGCCTTCCCGTCAAACCAGCATTACCTTGAGCCACCCTGAGAGTGAAGACGAGGAAGAGGAAGAGATGGAGGAAGAAGTCAGCAGGGAAAGTGACATAGACGATGAGTCCTTACACAATGACACCATAGATGGTGGGAGTTTCAGCACGGGCAGAGGACAGAGGCACAGCAGCAGCAGCAGCAGCAGTGGGAGTTTTGAGGAGATGCTAAGTCCTTCGCCTGACGAGAGCTTGGAGAACACCTCAACAATGTCCGAGGATGTTGATGAACTGGAGAGCAGTCTGGACCAGAGTCTGAACTCATCACTTAAACAAAGGTCAGGATATACTCAACACAAACAGGTACATTGTGATGAGTGACGAAGTAAAATACCGCAATCTTTTCTCATTTTACAGTAGTTTTCATGCACTACAACCAGAGACGTACACTTTTTCATTAAATAGATCAATTTGATGTAAATTTTAAACCAAATTTTAGGGCTGTGTTACAATTAACAAGGATGAGAACAAACAAGGAAAAGCAATTGCAAATAAATGTATAAAAAAAGTTTGTTTTTTTTCCTCCAGAATAGCTTTGTTGACGCGCGGGGAAAACGAAAAGAAAGACGGACTTAAGAAGCCAAAATCAACCGAGCAGAACCAGACTTCGCTGGCCGATCGCTTCAATCAGCTCCAAGATTCTGAAAACGCCTGGAAGAAAAAGGTAAGTTTCATTTACAATGCTCCAACCGTGTAGCGCTGCTGAACTGTTGTGTTTTGGGGGTACATTAGGGGTCAAAAAATGAAGTGAAGCCAAACTCAACTTGAGCTGTGCCTTGACAGTTTTATTAGATGGTAAATAACGTATGCTGCCTTCATTCTGCAGTATAATTTCCCCCTGATGCCTAAAAGGGTCTCCACCAACACCCACTTCTGGAAAAGTCATTTTAGTTGGGTAATAATACAAACTTTTATTGCCATTACAAGTCGACTCAGCTCATTCTTCCTGGTTAATAATATTCATTTAGGCTGGTGTCAAAACGTTCAGCCTGTGAACACACATGTTGTGTATGCCCTGCGGTCAAGCCAGCAGTGGACTATGGACTGTGCATTGGCTCATTCTGCAACCCTCTTCCCTTGTATGAGCAAATACTAATGTAGTTATGAGCCTCTTTTTGTTTGGCTTGTTAGATTTTCCAAAGGGAAACGGCAGTGGTTAGACTAGTCCCTTTGTTCCCAGTTAACATACAAGATGTGTAAAAAGAAGCAAGCTTTTTAAAACATAATAGTATTTATTTAAGAATTCTAAAGTCTGTTGTTCACATTTAGCTGGAGAGTGTACATCAGGGGTTCTCAAACTTTTTAGGCTCAGGGACCCCCTCATAACCCTCATGTTTATTAAATAACTTTCTTCAATTTGTCTCTTTAATGCAATGAAAATATTTGTGTAACATGAATACTTAAGACCTGTTCGTTAATAGTGTTAATATTAGGGATGCACAATATTGGATTTTTGGCCGATATGTTAAAACTTATTTGGCCGATAACCGATACCGATATTTTATATACGTTCCTGTCAGATCATAGCCCTCTTATTTAGGCTTATTGGCTACAAAAATTGTGCAACAGCTGTAAAAGCTGATGACATATATTCAGTAAGAGCCATATGATATGCATAGCACTTTGACTTTTATATTAAATGAAAAGTGTTAAATGTTATTTATTAGCATTAGTCACCTGCGATGCTGTCTCACTTGTAGAGGCTTGTTCCAGGTTTCTAGCTGCAGTGTGGGATCCTCTGCACTCCTGTGCATCAAGGACAGCCTTTTTAAGTTCAAAGTTTTTCTATCCATTGTGCCGTAAGACTAATCATGCTAACAGGGCTAACACGACGTCCAAATGTCTGTGGTAAGATGCACCCAACAAGTCGTGCTATCGGCTGTTATCTTCTCAATTACGTCAGAAATGACGGTTTGTAAATCGGGTAACGTTACGTCGGAAAAATATCTGGGGACGATGTGGAGAGGCTCAACGTAGTCCATAAATCTTAGAAATCCGACATCCTCACCAACAAAAAATAAAACTTCCACACCGCCGACATTTTGAATTTTCCTCTCCGCTGTGAGATCGGGTAGGCGCACGTGACGTCATCGTGTTGTGCTGCCGCTGCAGGCAAAAACAGCGCCTTTTGTATCGGCGAGTTATTTTAATGGAATTGCCGATGTCCGATATTGAACTTCATCGCTAATCTCTGTCGATACCGATACCATGCCGATATCGTGCATCCCTAGTTAATACTATTTTTATACTTTTGAATATGGGAATTTTTCATTCAAGACACACTTGATTAACAAAATTTTTAATTTCAACTTCCAAAAATGGCAGTTTTGAGAAAATTAACAGTATCAAAAACCACACTTTGCACATAATGAACATACAGTAAATGTATTGCCACTTCTTCAAATTATTACAGAAAACTCTTTACATAAAACTGAACAGAATCATAACAGCAGTAGTCATATTAAGTAATGTGGCTTAATCTGTAAACTGATCAATGCCGGAATGTAAATAGCGGACGTTTTTTTTTTTTTGGGACGATTTCCCCCAGAAAATTTTAAATAAATAGATGCAGTTCCCTGCATTTTGGTGTATTTTAACGGGTTGTTAAACATCTACACACTTGTAAAAAAAATATATATTATTATAATATATATATTTTTTTTCTTCTCTTTTTCGGACCCCCAAGCACTGACTCATGGACCACTGGGGGTCCGGGGACCCCAGTTTGAGAACCACTGGTGTAGATAATAGTTCCAGTTAAATGGTGGAACATATTTTTATTTGATGTGACAAAACTATACCCACATTAACCATGCTTTAAAGATGGAAAAATGATTGGTATGCATTTCTGTTATTATGGCACCAAGTTATCTTTATTTAGGGGTTTGAAGACGTAGCAATAAAAAAGCAAAAGCAACCAAACGTTGCAGCTTCTATTTATCTCTGTGCAGTCTTGGCTGTGGATGGTCCGTCAGTCTCCCTCTGCTGAATCTGCTCCATTGAGGAACACCTAGAGTCCCAGCAGGTTTAGGAGTGGAGATCCTGGTCTCAGCTTACCTCCCAGAGAAAAAATAAAATACACACCTCCCACCCCCTTGTACAAATAAAATTTTACACCATGACCAAACACCTGAAGGCCTTCCAAGCTTTCTTCTTTTGTTGGATTTTTAACTCCTTGTGTTTCTCTTCAAGTTTAGAAAAATAAAAGCAGGATATTGTGTTCATCTTTGAGTTTCAGCCCCAACAGGTGGTGATGTCATGTGCATTTATAAAGAGCATCTTTTTGTCTGACGTCTGTCAAGCTTGGATATCATCTAAAGGGATTTCTCCTTTGGGTTCATAATTCAAAGATGAGCTAACCTTAGATCCAGTCCAAGTCTGGAAAATAAGCTCTATAAAATTAGAGCAATTCTTCGGTCAGATACTAATATGATGTCATTTTTATATTGTGTGGTCTCTATTATTTATAATGCATCAGCACATTATCCAAAGAGATTTAGTGTGTTTCCATGGCAGGAAAACTTCATCCTCAACACTTGCACACACGATGAAGCTGTTCACAAGCGTTTAGGATTGTCTTTCTTTATATCTGCCAGAGTTACTGACTATAAGTGTCTTAACAAGGTCTTCTGAACGGGTTCTTCTTTGGTGAAACGTTTCATCTTTTATCCAAAAGACAACTGCCTATAAGTGTATTTGTATTTAATTTTCTGAAAAACTAACATGGTCTGAATTAGATACTAGCATTAAAGGTGTCATGTGACTATTCCTGGTATATTTTTGTCTTTTTTTTTTTGTCCAAAATGAAAAAACTATTGTTTTTCTTGTTTTGGCAGCTACATTTATTCAAGCTCACAGTTGGATCAGACGTTTGTGCTCTTTGGTTGAAATGTGAAAGACCAGAGAATGTTTGGTGCAGGCCATGATCGGGTCCAGATGTTTCCTGTTAGACCTGCTAAGCCTTTCTGTACACCGTGGTGTTGTAAAGCGACGCCTGGTTGTAAATTTGATTTAAAGGGGAGGTGGGTGTTGTCGTGTCATGAGGAAAGGATTGTTAGTCACAGTTTGCGTTGAGCGATGACATCTTTTTTTCTTCCTGGGAAAGGAAGAAAGCCCAACAAGCAAAATGAAAACGTCTGCTTTGTGGCAATAAATGAAACTCTGGCATTGCTTTAATTTTCAGACGGCTTTCATTAAATTCATACACAATTATAGCTCCTCTCCCACCACCTTTCATGCTGGATTTTTAGATTTCCACCGTCCTGTGTTGAAAAATGACAACGCTGTAGTTGTTTTGACCACTGTCTTGTAGGAATGTGTGATATAAACGGTACACGGTAGAAACGATAGAAATTTAGCCTACGACAGAGATCTGTCTTCTACTGGCTAACCGCAGTAATGCTGTGTCTGCAGTAAAATCAGAGTTATCAGTTTAATCGTTACTTTTTTTGATCTGAAAACTGTGCGCAAGTGGCGTTAAAGTCTTTTCTTCGAGAGCTAAGTAGCGAAGCTACAAGCTAACTACAGCCGGCTTGCCGTAGTGTTGCCGTATTCTGACGCATGCGCAAAACGCTGTGTTCTGTCGAAAGTTTTGGTTTTTTTTCCATCGAAAGTTAAAGTAAGCGTTGGTCAGCTTTAGAGAAACCTGCTCTCTGATCTGTGAAAAGAACGCTGTGTTGTGTGATTTTACTGCGAGACCCTCTGGTCAAAGCCACAGACTCCTTTTGTGTCAGCTCTCCATTAAAGCAGAAGGAGTCGCCCACTAGAGGTTTGGAGGTTGAAGTGTTTTAGTGTAAAATGCTGCTCTGTTGCTGTTCATTTATTAAGACTGGAAACTGTTAACAACATATTCTTTTGTTTAAAGCATATGGCTGTAGTGAACTTGACCTGATGTCCAAACTGACCAGATGGACAGAAACTGTCATTTCATTGATCTGAATCCAGAAATACAGTTTGACCCATCCTGAGACTTTCTTTCTTGAATTAATCAAGTGGAAAAGACAATCCTCTATGATCATTACTATTTTGCAAATGTTTGATAATCAAATTGTGTTAGTTCAAACAATGTTTACAGGTTGAAGAGAACTACTCATTTTTATTTACATAAACAGTAAGTAATGATTTTTATTCCTCATTCAAAGAAGAAATCAGGGTAATATGCATTTCTTGATTTTTCTGTCTTCAATGAGCAAATTTGTAAGTGTGTTAAAGTTCGAGGTTCGGTCAACTAAAAAGTTTACTGAAAAGAAATGTCATGTTTAACTTTTACAGCAGATACTGGGTGAATTGACTCCACGGAGTCTGAATTTCTCCAACAATCTTTCTGTCTGTTTTAAACAATCTTAATCTCTATCCTTGACTTTCCATAACACCTTACATCACAAACCACACCTCTGTTCTGGTCTATCCACCAATCAAAAAGCTCTCAAATGACCCGGAAGTCGAACCCATTTAAATGTGGCAACTTCCCGGTTCTCTCGGAGAGTGTGTGTCGAAGAGAGACGAGACGAGATGAGAAGAGCTTAAAAGAGTAGAGCTCTGAAGGAGTTCAGAGTTCTTGAATCCAGAATGCAGAGACTATTTTGGGAATTATAACTTCTGTTTGGATAACCTCGCACGACTCTCTAGGTATTTGGCTGTTCTCAACGGAGACGCTGAAAGAGT